AAGTATGATGTTTTTCTCATTTTTAATCATCTTAAATATTACAATTCGATACGGTATTATTACCGCTATAATAGTACAAAATAATTTCATTTTCTCGTTGTTGTTCTTTTCTTTTTAAAAAATATACGGTCTCGATCGAGCGCCATTTCATACACTATACCGTACTCTCGATCGAAATCGCTATTTACTCTTATTATTAACAATAATAAATAGCTTTAAATACTGATGTACAATTGTTTTGTGACTTACAAATGAATTACAATTAAACTATATGGCAGTGATCTTACTACTTACATGTATGTTGTGACATTTTGTGTATCAAATCTATTATACAATTTGACGCGAATTCGTGCCATAATTTGTTAATGCTAATTAAAAATCGTTTCTCAAACTATGTTTTCCAAAATTATTGTTAATATTAATTCTAAAAAGTATTTTAGAATTAATATTATATTATAATGTATTATAATTTTAGAATTAATATTATATTATAATGACGAACAATCGTTTGAATTTTAAACTACATAATATATTGATCTTCCAATAGTTAACGTTAAATCATAATTGAAATTTTTCATCTTTAGAATTCATTTAATTTTAATTTATTTTATAAAATGTAATTTTTTCGTCAATTTAATTTTTTATAATCTTTTTTATTCGATTTAGATTTTCATGGACATTGTATTCGTTAGTAGAATACGTTAGTAGAAATATGAAGATATTTTTCATTTGATTTTTCATCTTCAAGATGTTATAAATTTTATTATTAAAGTATTTATTGAAATAGCAATATAAGTGTAATGAACTGTTTCTTACATTATTATTTTATAATAATTATACTGTAATATTTTAAAATATTTTATAAATGTAATGTTGGTGTTGAATAAGTCATTTAAAAAATTTAAAAATGTTAATCGATTATTCTGATAGAATTATGTATAAATTTTCAAAGCGGATATAATAATAAATGCCTCAACATCAATTTGTTAAAATAGTATATAATGCATATAAATTAAATTAAATTTTTTGGTACATATGATATCTTTTTTTTCTTCTTTATTTTGCAAATAAAAATTTATTTAAATATTTTGGCTGATTAATTAAGTGTAAAATTTGTTATGTGCAAATTATAAATATTATCTTTTTCTTTTTGGATTGTGTTCATCGTGTATCATTTTTTCTAAACATATTTTTTAATAAATATAAGCTTATCATCAGGAAGAGATACATATATATAAATGTATAAAGTAGTTCGATTGATAAATTATTCGCAAGTATTTGTTATCGTAAAATTTTAAAAGAGTTAAAACAAGTTTGAGAAACATCAATGTAAACTTTATGCGTTTGAATGCTAGCATCTCTTGGCTTCATTTATCTTATATCTTAATGATTAAAGAATTTTCGATCATGATATGGCACTTGATCCCAGTGTGAAATTGCATTGAATACAGTTCACGGAAACCTTTCGAGGATTGTGCATTCTTTAAACAGTCTTTGGAACTAAACTGAATGACTCGAGGAGGAGTTCACACATTGTACTGATTATCATTGTACTGGGCAGGAGCTCAAGTGAATATTATGCAATTCGTCCATGTCTGTCCAATCTCGTCTCTCTCCCCCTATCATTACATTTCTTATACATCCATTGAAATGATCCCTTGTTAATAATGTTCCTTTTGGAGCAGAAGCTGCAAAATCATTTACACTTAGAGATATAATAGTAAATTATTTTCAATCTATTTTTATTTATTTTACAATAATTTTAAAATATATTAATTTTAATAACAATTTAAATAATTTAGTTCACTAATATCGAAGATATTATAATTTATTTATTAGAATGATTTTTGATAAATAAAAAATGATTTACCTGGTAAGCCACCAATGTATAGAGGGACAGAGACTGAAGAATCCATTATATGATAATTAACATTAGCTGGAAGGCCATACTTCTGATCCATCTCATCGACTTTTAGTGCCAATTCTTCGTCATTAAAAACTGCTTGTATTCTATGCCACCGATTGTCACAGATCGTGTATGGACTAGTAAAACGTTGTTCTACATATAACGGATTGTTATCTCCTAAATCGCCAGACATTATCACCTTGCCATTATTCAATTCCAATGATACTGAAGGCGAATGGCCAGGCGCTGTTATGGAAAGCAAAACACCCGATAATTCTGATGTTCTAAATTCTAACTGAAGTTCTAGCACGGCACCTAATTCAAAGTTTTTCTCTGTAAAATAGAATTTCGTTTATTAATATGATAGTTTCATTTTATTTTTGTATGATATTTATTTATAAATTGATATTTCTATATATATTCTTTATATAAGATAATAGGAATAAAAAATTAATAATATGTATAATAACAATTATTGAACTATACAATCTCATTCAATACTTCCGTTTAGCATTTACAAATCAATATAGTTTAAATAATTTAAATAAATAATTATTTTATAAATAAAAATAAAACAAAAGAATAATTTAAAATAATTAATAATGTTTAAATTAGACAAGGAATATAATTGCGATAGCTTACTATATATAGCATATGCTTCATCCTGGAAATAAGCTCCACTTTCAACATTTGGGAAACATTGTCCCACTTGATAAGCTCTACTTGTAGAACCAACCATATCATACACATTTCCATTGATCCTTAACCCTTTAATACATCCTTTTAGAGTCTCAAGTTTAACTACCACTTGCTCAGGTATTGGTGTTCCACTTTCAGGCAAGCCTCCAATATACATCATGGAGGCCAGTCCAATTTTTCTTGGTACTTTAATCGTACGTGGTGTTTGGGAATCTACGAGCAATGTCAACTTTCGTTCGTCATGGCTGATAACTACATGATGCCAGTTACCATCATTAAACGGTGTTTTAAACAGTATCTCTTTCTTCTGTTTATTTTTCACTAAGAGTAAAAGCTGTCCATCTCGTATCACGACCATGAGATAGTGCTTTGGTCTATGGCCCTACAAAGTAAATATATTAGTCAGAAATGTATTAAATAATAAAAGAAATATTAGTTAAAAATATTTTACATGAACAAAATTATAATACAGATTAAGATTTTGCCTTTGATCTCTAATTACTTATACGATTTTTAGAACTTAAATTTTTACATACTGGAGTAATAAACAACAGTCCGTTTGGATAATATGTCCTGAAATCAAACTCTATTGCATATTTCTTCTCCCAAAATTTTTTAAAATTTAAATAAAGCTGCGTGTGACTGTTTGGTTTGTCTCCAAATTTGAGAGCACCGGCTTCCAAAGAGTAATACGGCACTTTTTGGCATCCTTCTGGTTGAGTAGACATTCCTCTCGATAGCGATGCTGATGGTGTATAAGTAGGAAGATCTTTTCCCATACTCGGTCCAGGCCGACCAATTAATGCATGCTCGAAACTAACAGCTTCGTCAAACCGAACAATTCTAAAAGAAATAATTCAATGAATATTCTTTATTCAGTTTATTGAACGTAATAAAATTTTTGAGCTGTTGTTTTTCAATATCTTTTTTAGATATTTTGGAAATATATTGTAAAATTTTATGTAATTAATACTCACTCGTCATTAAATATCGCGTCTTTAATGGCCCCATACAAAGGTGTGATGGTAGAAATCATGTTAGTATTGTTAATAAGTATTGGTAAACCTCCGAAGAATAATCCTCCGCTTTCTTCAGGAGCTCTAATAGCAGCACTAGTGGGTAATTTACCAGCCTTCTGATAAGCATCGTCTATTCGCAATTCCACATCTTTTCGTCTTTTAATTACTGTTACTGAGTGGTATCTTCCATCATTAAAAGTGTCATTCGACTGTAAAACAAGTTCTCCTCTTCCAGCATTTAAACGAACTTGCACTTGTCCATTGATAATGCACACAGAATAGTAACTTTTCTTCTGAAAAAATTATAAGTAGAATTGTAAGTTAAAAACATGGATCGTTATCATACATTTAATTGAGTAAATTTTGATAACTTTCTTTTCTTGAAAATTATATGTAAAATATACTATTGAATATATAATATGAAAGACTTAAAATAAAATTTGTTATGGAACATCAGTGAAAATAATATTACATATTACTATTTTTGGTTCAAAATGCTTCAAATAAATCATCAAAAGAAGAAATAGGATTTAGAAAATTTTTAATATTAATGAAAACAAATATTAAATAATTTAAAATTATTAAAAAATTGAGTACAGTTGTTATATATATTTTGCATAATATTTTTTCATTTAATTTTGATGCAAAAGGATACTATTATACTTACAATCGAGTCATCATTCATATGTCGTATAAAAAGCATACGTTCTTCTTGTCCTTCGAATGTAGAAAGAAAAAGTACAGCCTCCTCTTGCATTGTTCTAAAAGAGAAACTCACTGTGGAGTTTATTTTACGCAATGTATATGCTGCATGTTGTAAATAACCATCTCCGTAAAATCCTACTATCCTTAACGGCTGCAAAAATAAAAATTTATTATCATTATTTTTTATGAAATTTATTCTTTATTCGTGTATAAAACTTTCTACTTAAAGATAAATTGTTTTTTCAACATTAAAAAGAGAAATAAGTATATTTGATATACCTTTATAGAAATTATTTCAAGTTTCTTAACTATTCAAATAGCATTTTAATTAAATATCATAAAAAAAAATATGTACATCATATTTATTACTTATTTTAAAAATAGAACAAGAATTTATTTATTTTTAATATCTAACAATAAGAAGAAATTTCATAATTATTTTTTTATGATTAATCTATTTGCCTTATTAATTTAAAATTTATCTTATTAATGCATCTAAGTAGAAATTTCATAATTATATTTTCACAATTAATTTATTTACCTTATTTGCACAAGTAGGTTCGACACCATAATACTGTTCAGCCATTGGATCATAGCCTACTTCAACAATAATATTAGACATACAGCCAAGGAATGAAACCTGCGATGGTAACATTAACTTTTCTGCGCGAAAACTTGGTGGAATACCACCGATGTAATATTTAGCCTGAACGAAGTCAGGAATGTCTTCTTTTTTGGGTTGAGGTGCAGGTGCACCGATTCTCTTATCGCTTTCTCCTTCTACACTTAAACTACATTTTTCAATGTTTTTACGTAAATGATAATGTCTAAATGCATCCACTTTTGTCCAGTTTCCAGTATTGTATTTAAAGTTTGAAGACATTTCCATACTAACATTACCGCCGTAACCAATATGCAGGATCACTTTCCCTTCACGCAAGAATATCATGATGTGTTGGTTCTGTTGTGAATAAAAATAAGATATAATTATATTTTATTAAAATGGAAGTTCAAAGCTTATTTTATACCAGAAAGTTTTATTTTATTTATATCAGAATGATTAATAATTATCTGCAATATAGCGATACTTCTTGTCTATTGGCATTAGATGTTATACATTTACTTTATACATTAACTTTAGATATTTATGTATATCATTAATTAGTTATCAATATAACAATGAGCGGATCATTTTACGTTTGCTTTAAAGAAGAGCAGTATACTATGTTCTTATGATTTGATGCTGAATTCTATATATAGAAGACTATCAGCACAAATATTCTACATAATATGTACAAGCAAATTCATAAATTTAAAAATAGTTGAGATTAAGGATTGAAAAAAACCAAACTAAACCAAATGCATGTCGAACTAATATTGAAAAATACCGTTGCAAAGAACTCTATTGTTATCCTAATAAATTTTATAATTATATATTGTAGATACTTATTCAATCATTATATTTATTATACTTACAGATTTCTAAGAATAAACAAGTATAATAGTCAAATTTAGTGACAGATTAAAAAATATAACATATTTATAAAATTGAATAGAATACATCCTTAATTTCAATTTTGTAAATTTTCAATTAATAATTAACAAAAAAAAATTAATTACTTTTTTTTACTTTCTAAGATATAAATAACACTATTTTTTAGAAGAATAAAAATAAATAATACGTAAATATTATGTACATTATCTGGATTAATTGCCAAAAATAGCAAGGCATTCTCGTCGAAAGTTCGGAAGCTAATTGATATTCCAAATGAATATTTATTATATGGTCCTGAAGAAACCCTATTTCTGACCGCATATCCTTCTCCATTAAAGCTGTAAGCTATATCATCCCTGACATCTTCGACTCTATAACATTAAAATAAAACATGAAAAATAAATAGTATTTTTTGCTTATATCAAAAAATGAAACAAATTTATAGTTTTTTATTGATTACCCTTCCACACATGCTTCACATGCCATATCTGGTGCAGTTGTAATGAAATTCCAAAGACCTATAGGTTTTCCATCTAGAATAACTTGATGTACACACGCTGGAAGTCCATTAGACGCAACAAGCTCCGTTCTTCTACGCTCTGTTCTTGGAATTTTTCCTATCCAAACACGATCTGAAGTAGTAATGTCGAACCGGGCGTACTCAGAGTCTGTCGAATTCCTTACAGGAGGCTGTTCTCTCATTGTTAACGCTTGTTTTCGCACATATAGTTTGCCTAAATGACGTACCCTGAAAATCATTTTTAATGTTTCAATTTTTTACACATAAAATAGATAATGGATAATAATTAGTAATAATATATAGAAGAAAGTTGTATAGATATAATAATAAAATTCTATTTATATAAGTTGTCATGGGATAAATAATTTATGTAATCATAAATTCATATAATAATTCATTCTATTAGTGATGTTTTCTTCATACAATAGAAGTAGTAAGTAGATTTAATCAGCAAAAGTTCATTTCATCGGGCATTGAGTAAAAGTTTTCTTTTTTGAGTTTAAATAAATAAAATTCTTATAATTTGGCGAGCAGATATTATTTATTATATAAAATAGATTTAAAAAGCATTACATCCAAGTGTTAGCAATGACATGTGCTATTCTACTTCATTTCATTTTGAAATTCTATTGAAATGTTTTTTTTAGATGGAACATATGTAATTCTGAGAACAATTTTATAATAGCAATCTCATTTTATTTTTTAAAAATATTTGAAGGAATTATAGTCAATTAACTTCCTAGTGTAATTCTTTATATAAAATACTTATATTCAAAATTTACACTAAAACTATCAAAATGGTCAGAATAATCAATTTGTAATTTTTTATACAATTTACAGATTCACATTGATATATTTTCTGGAGATTTTTTCAAAAATATGTAAATAAAAAAAATTTTCAATGATAAATGATTATTCTAAGTTCTGATATAAGTTTTATACTTTAGGCGTTGATGATTCTAGTATTAATATATCAATAGTATATTAGTATTTCAAATAATATACCTTTCAGCTTCTACACGATACCAGATTGTATCATCTTGAAGATCACCACTTTGTAACATTTCAGGATGTGTAAGAATTCCTGTTCCTCCTCCAACATTCCATACAAATCTCACTTTCCTGTCAACGATTTCTAAAGCAAGGAAATCATCCTGCAAGTAAAATAAAAATGTAGCATAGCACATATTTCTCATTTTGTATTTTAAAATACTGTATTCAACTCAAGTAATATATTTACATTTATGCTACTTGGCAAATAAAATAGAGAGCCTTCTTTTTTCCCTTTTGGAAGTGCAAAAGTCATTACAATTGTGTTTGTCGATGTTGGTTGTAATGTGGATGGTCTATAGGATCGACTGCATTCTTTCCCTTCTGCTGATCTCAAAGAAACACGAATCTAAAAAAAATATTTCGTTTAAATATTTATTCAACAAATGTATCAACAAAGTAAAATATTATCATAATTACTCCATCAGCGGTATTTCTAGCTTCAGCAATCTTGTCTTTGAGATTCTGTAATTTTGTAGCTAACGTATTGTTCCATTTGTCAAATTCCATTTTCCTTTTTATGGTGGCATTTGACAAACTTATTAATTTTGCATCTGCTTTTTTTGTATTACTAAGTGCTTCTGTCACTGCAAAATTTTTTTTAATGAATGTATAATGAGAAGTATATACGTAGCATGAAAAAAATATATAATACACCTTACATTTTTCACTGGCTAAACTAATTTCTGAATCACCTTCTCGTTTCAAATCGTACAATTTCGGTTTCAATCTGTTAGCAATCCCTTCTTTGTAATCTCCAATAAGTTTCTGCGAGTTTTTAATACTTTCTAATACCTTTTCGTTCTCATGTAATATATTTTTAACATTTTCACGTACTATAAAACAACACATAAATATTTCAATAGGAACTAACTATTAAAATATCTTATTGTAAATTTTATGAAAATTTTATTTTAATACAAGATATTAATTAAAAACTCTTAATCGCTAGATTGCGAATTTTTATGCATTTTTAAATTTTTATAAACGTAACTGAAGGAACGAAGATAGAAATTTGTTTTATCTACTGAATTGTTACAGATAATCTACCTTAGATGTTTTATATATTTTTGCATATATGTATTTTCACAACTTTCAATTTTCCATAAATATATAAAAATCTACAGTCTATTAATCACAATTCAAAAATAAACAATTCATTCTAAAATATATTATAAAAATTCTAAATTTTATGGTCACAATAACCAGCAAGAAACCTCAAACGTTTAGCTATGTATATTAACAGATATATAACAATTACAATATGATCTTACGTTTTTTACTGTCATCTTGCAACTTTTGCAATTTCACATTGACTTGATTGTCTTTCATTGCAGTGCTGTTCAGAGTATTTTTCAAAATATTCACAGCTTCCTTTTGTAATTCCAATGCTTCATTCGCGCTTTGTACTAAATTTGCATTTTTATTTGCACTATTCTCCTGTCTGGAGGATGCTGCTAATATTTCCTTAGCGTTGTCCAGGAGTGATTTTAATTTGGGGCCATCAGGGAATGCCTGATAACACCATAATAATTAACATGATATATGTTAATATATATATATATATATATAATTATGTGTGTAATAATTAATATGATATATAA